ATGGAACAGATTTTATCGAGCTTCAAATATGCTTCACATATATTTTTTTGCACATAGCCCTTCGAGCAATGTGTCTGCTGTGTGCAGATAATGTGTGTCCTTACTCGGCTAATTAAGCTGCCTGATGGGCTTCCAGTGATAAACACGTATCGTGAAGCTGCTTTGACTGTTCCTTCAAACGGAGCCAAAAATGCCTTTTTCCCCAGCCATGGCTGATATCGGAACACAAAAACATCTGCTGGTTCTGAAATCCCAAAAATGTTTAAGTCACATAAGATTTGCCAGCAGGAAAAACACATCAACAGTTCCCACAGAAGTCACAATAAGGGAGTCATCGACGTGTTGAAATATAGAAGCAGACTGCCAATCTTGCAGCTAAGCATGTTTAAGTGTTCAAAGTGGAGCTCCACCGGAGTCCAGTTTATTTTGACTTGACTTGTCCAAGCATTTTACTAGATGTTTATTAGCTTTGAATGGTTCCAAGTTAATGTTTTTTGGGTTTGTGAGTTCTCATTTCCTGTCACGCCGGGACATCTTTGGATGTGCTCCACTGTCAGACTGTGTGTGTTTGTGCGCGGGAGACAAATCCGCGACTTGTGGTTAAGTCAATAGGAGAAGGCTGTTTGCTGTGGCACGAGGCCCAGAAGACTTGCAAACATGCAGTAAGTGAGGCTCCGACAAACTTTGCTGTCTTGAGCATGTCTGCTCTTACACGACTGTACGCTCTGGGTGGACTCACTGTGCACGCACAAGTAGACTGACAATCGCTACACAAACAAACCTTGCAACACAGGAGGACAATGAACACATCATGACACTCACACAGACATGAAACGCTCGACAAAAGATGAGTTAAAAAAGACAAAGTCATAAAATACATATTTGAGTGACTTGTCATGACTACATCATTGACTTAAGTAGCAGCAGAGCTCCAAGAACATTTCCTTCCTGGTACAACATCAGATTTTCTCATGAAAAGCAAAGTCGAGTCAAAAATGGTCTTTCCAATATTCCTTACGTGCCACCTTGAGTCAGCTTATTTGCCGTGTACCGACACATGCTAGTGACTGAAAATAACACCACGGTGTCCATGGGCCCCCCTTGCGAACATCACACGAGCAAACCCAGAAAACAGGCGAGCCTTGATGGTCCTGAGCCCTTAGGCACTCTGATGTCATTTGCAGTCTGCAGCAAGTGGCAGTACCAGTACAAGAATAATTGACCGTCTCCTGAGGTAGATAGATAACGGGTAGATTGCTCTGCTGAATTCATTTTCCACAAACAGAGTATTAATCAAAATACCGTGTTTTGTTTACTGGAGGCACGGAGAACAAATTATTGGAAAGGAAATTTTGGACTTGACTTCCCCTTTAAACAACATTCGGCAATATAAACAACAAGCCAAACAATTTGCAGTGCGTGGCCGTATCAAAAGCACACAGTACATTCTGACAAGAACGTGGCGGTAAGTGGCAATGAATGGCCTTGAGTGTGAAAATGTCATCAATTTTATTTTCTTACCTGATTTCAGTTGAAACAACAAGCCTGACATCGTTTATAACGCAGTTTCATGGAGGATGATATAAGACGACAGGACCATACAATATTTTTTCCGCTCTGAAACACAGCCAACACTTCCATCATGACTCAAACAGGGGGAGAAAAAAAAACATGAAAAAAGTGCAGATGGCCTATTTATTTATTATGAACCGTTTTGGGCACAGCGGTTACTACAGTGGACATCTTATCATGTGATCAGGTTACAGGGTGCATGAAAGGGTTAAATCACAAGATGAGTTTATGTCATCAATAATGTGTGAGCAAGGCACTGGGATGCTTGCAAGATCTGGCACTGGTGCTCGACATGTTTTTTTTTTGAGGCGGGTGGTGGTGCAAACAGTCCGGTTTAGTCATAATATACTGGAGAATTTCATTTCTTATTCATTTCCTACGAAACTCCGACTGTATAAGTGATGGTGTGAGTAATTTGACAGTTCAACATAATGTTTACCACAAGAACTTGAGGACGTGTTGTTGAAAGTATGAAAAGGACGTGCAAGCTGAGCTTCTTTATTTCCCTCCCCATCATTTCACAGCACACATGTCTAATAGAATGTGTCGGTTTGGAGTGAGGAGTAGACCAAGGTTGTTTTACTGGAATATAAATCACTCGGAGTATGAAACATGAACAACTATTGGCCTCTTGTGCACTGTTTTAATACTTTAAGGCTGAAGCTCTTCGTTTTTCGCTGAAGTGCAGTTTCAGACAGGCTGGCGGAGCTGCAATATGAAGGTACCGTCTCTGATTACAAAAAACAAAACTGACCTGCCAACACGTAACCATCTATAAATGCATCAAAACTGTGAACATGCTTATATTTCTTCCCAAAATAACAAAATGGGAATATGAAGTCTGTCAAAAAAAAATAAAAAATTCTAACCAATTCTGTGGTACCCTGCGATTAACAAGTACAATTCTGTCAGTGAAATATATAATGAATAGTATTATGGATTACCGGCAAAGTCGTGTATTTAACTGTTTTACTTTTCTCCTTTAATAGCAGTGAAAATATTTCATCATTTTATATCTTACGAAAGCTCTTTGGGTTCATTCTAAACATAAATTTTGGCTCAGCCGTTTTTACGACAGTGGTACAGTGCTTGGACAAGCAGACTTAATAGGTGCAACTAAAATAGACCAAGAGCATTTTTGTAAAATGCCACCACTATTGTGGATGTGGGAAAAAGCGGTCAAGGAATTTATTTGACTATGACTCCGTCACAGATGAGCTGAAGTGCCTTGTCGTGGAAGTGAGTGATATGTGTGGAATAGAGGGTTCACGGGAGTGGATTTTCACTCCCGTCTCATCCCACTCCCACAGAAAAAAAAAAAAAATCCCATCCCCATCCCAGTCCCGGACCAGAGTAAAATAGTACAAAAGAAATAAATAAATAAATCCTCTGCTGTCATGTGGAAAATAAATCCCATCCTGTCCTGCTCCCATTCAGAATGACTCCCACTCCCCTACCACTCACATTTTAGAGGTCAGCTACATGAAAACAAAACAAAAACAACAAAAAAAAAACCCAACAATTAATTTTTTTTTGCATTTGACTCACTTCTTGTCACCCTGTTTCTCCTCAAGGATTGAACAAGGATTTTCTTTTTCCCCCAACTGGATAATCCCACTCTATTCTGTTTCCATGAATTTTTTGTCCTGTCCCATTCCAATCCCGTGAAAGTTGACTCACATCCTTTGGGAATCCAACGCAATTCCAGAAAAAAAAAAAGTCACCCTCTAGTATGCAATGGGTCTTAAAAGAAACACCAACAAATCTAAAAGTCCACTTGAGATGTTTGCGAATTGGCAGCAAGGGAAGGACAAGAAGGCCAGATTTGTATTTGAGGCACCGGATTCTTTTAACATGTCAGGACTTCAATTTATTACATTTGTACAAAGCTCTGTATTTGATTCGTGAATGATTATTCATTTGTAAATTGTGTAGTGAGGAAATACATTTTTTAATTAACTTTTGTTTCATTTTATATCATATTCTAATACACATTATAGTACATCGTATCATGAAAACATATTCAAAAAACTAATACTAAAACTAACAAAAAACATAGCAAGCCCTCTTCTAAAAACTCAAATAACTGACGTATTGCCTCCACAAGTAAAAAATATGCTTTTTCTTGATGGGCGCCCACTTTATCCCCACACTCTGGGATCTGCGCTCACAAATGGTCAGAAGGATCATGCTCCACCCCCGGTCGTCATGGTAACAAAAGCCAGTTGTCTAACATGACCTAACATTCTTGATGCTTGGAGCATTTTGCAGCATGGATCCTTAATTTAAATTGTGGAGAGAAAAAAAAAGCATATTCTTGCTGTCCAGTGAAAAATGCGAATGTCAATTTTGTCATCAATTTTTTTTTTTTACATGAATTTTTCACAGGACAGCGACGATGTGTTTGCTTTAAAAGCAGGCCCGTTTCCATGCAGCCTCCTCTGAGGGATATATGCATGGATGTGATTAGAATCTTGTCGAGCAAAGTGGAGCAAGCAGAAGAATCCTGGCAAATGATGCATAATTCTAAACCCTTCCATCTTTTTGTCTCCTGTTTTCATTCATTCACGACTTGTGCTGTACAGTTTTTGTGGATACGTGTGTGTGTGTGTGTGTGTGTGTGTGTGTGTGTGTGTGTGTGTGTGTGTGTGTGGTTTTTTTTTTGCTAAGAATGTGATTTAGCTTATCCTCAGGAGGGTGGGAGGAAATTCAGCCCCAGATAGCAAGAGCATCTAATTTCACTCCCTGTCATGAGTTGCGATGTTAAAAAAGTGCAGGAAAATAGTTTCACTTAAAAATAGACTTAACGATGTGAAATCGCTATCTTCTAAGCACTTCTTATCTTACCAACAATATCTTATAGTCAAATCGCTGAGATTTATTAGTTTTCCCTCGTAAATAAATAACAATCAGGGGTGGACCGTGCGGTTCATTTACGTAAAGGAAGTTGCTGCCTGTGAAAATAGACCAAATGGTGCATGAAAGTAGGCCCAGATTAATGTTTCATGGGATGACTTCCAAACGGCACAGTAAATAGTGGATATGGGCTCATGTAGCAATGCTGCATGACCACCGCAGCAGAAGCGGCTCCTCTTGGCTGCATGCTTGGAGCAGAGCAGGAACTTTAAAACGTGATGCCATTCGAGTCAATACTGGGTAGCAGTCAAATAATGTGCTCTTTTTTTTGCCTCACTTCATAAAAAATCAGTCATTTTGATTAATCGATTCACTCCAGCTCATGTGAACATGTTAAGTAGCATTGTGGATGGCTGGATGGATGAATTTCCCTCAGAGGGAACATTGACATTGACGAAGAAGTAACTAAACTAATGCAGTTAAATGTAGAATGTAAAAAAAGATACATATAAATCTCAATCCACGCTGATTGTGGTGATTTTATGACTAAATCTGTGGAATCATGCAAACGCACACATCTCCCCACACACGCGCATCTCCACACACACACACACACACACACACACCCGTGTGCCTGCTGTACTTACGCCAGGCTGCCTAAGCCACATCGTTGTAGCGTGCGGCGAGGCAGACGCATGTCGTTCTCCTCCACGTCCGTCCGCATCCGTCCACATCGGCGCTGACAGAGCATCATCGCTGCAACATGGCGACAGAGGTGAGACATGTTTCTTCTTCTTCTTTTCCACCTCCTGCACGTGCAATGCCTTGAGTCCAGGTTTGGCAGGTGGAAAAAAAAGTCAGCCTTTCTCTTACTGCTCCTTGTGGATTTTGTCATAAACGAATCTGCCTTTATTTTCCTTCATTTGAATGCATTTTCAGTTGCAGTTATTACTGTTTATTTTGCTTTAGTTGAAGTGCGAGGATGTAATTAAGAGCACCGATGAGGAATGGACTCATCAGCACCATGGACAGGGGCGGACTTGTTGTTCTCCTCTATTAAACATGAATGGATACATCATAAAACACTTTGCTGTCATGCCTTCTTCATTGACATCGCGGAAACAAATTCCCATTCGTCACTTGGCTGATGCAGAGTGGCCGGTTGTACTGTTTGCGCTCACTGGGCGCAACATTAGGTGCACCTGCACAATGCAAAAAAAAAATTAAAAAAAAAACAAAATTCTTTCCATAGCTGCTCATTTTTGTAAGACGTCCAACACTTCAATATAAATGCGTCACAATGTGCACAGGTCAGAATAAAAATGGCTTTAACCGATGAATTATCCATGACAGACAGCAGCCGTTCACGTCCATCAACCACTTTACATTCCTTCCTCTCCATCACTGTCTCCACCACTTTTTCCTCTCTTATTTTATCGAGGTCATAAATATGGCATTTGCACTTTTTTGCCTCAGCCTGTACAATCCAATGTTTTAAAAAGTGTGCATACTCATTCATATTCATACACATACTATCTTTAAAAATAAGAACTGGATCCAGAGGTATTGATTTTATATCGAGGTATTGATTGATTAGAACTTGAACAAGCCACCTTTTGCTTATTTGATCCATTTGTCAAAGTGTCAGACAAATGGCCGCTGAATGAGCTCGCTTCTGCTTTCGTCCTGTGATAAACGATGTCGATGTTTGCCACTGTCATCACGTGTGTCTATTAATAGATCAACTTGTGCGTTATGACGAGCAGCAGGCTGCGTTGTGTACAGAAAGAAAGAGGGAGGTTAAAAAAAATAATTAAATGAGGATATTTAAAGCACCGAGAGACAGCGCAATGTCGAGGCAGTGACTGAATTTCTTGGGCTGTGAGGAAGACTAAAATAGCAATGAGAATGTTATTCCTGGTTGTCAGTGAAACGGCGCGTCTTCTTGGCCTTCTTATATAATCTACGAAATACTTCATAAAGTTTTATGGCGCCCACTAGAAGTTTAGTCACTAAACTTTTGTGCAATAATGGTCTAAATTCAAACATCCATCAATATTCCATGAATGCTGATGACATGAAATGAATACAAACATCCGCTTGCCTATTTTGAGACCCAAATATAAATAAATGTGTACTGAGAAAAAAAAATCACCTCTTATTATACAGTTTACATTCAGTCTTTTTGTTTTATGCTGGGTTTTGTTCTCCGTTGTCATGTAATTCCCACTGTATGATGTCAAAGTCTCGGTTTATTTTCATTGCCTGCAGGTCTTGCAGCTTTGTGTCCGAATAGGTTTGTTCATTCATGAATCATCCCTTTTTTTCTTTTTTAAACTCATCCCTCTCCACTCACTATCCTCTGGAGCGGAGTAATTGAGATCAACAGAGAGTGGGTTTACAGTGTCCTACTTAACTCGCTGTTGCCTTTCCTCCCAGAGAAAAATGGCTGCTTGGGTGTAAACCACTCAACGGGCTTTTAAAGGAAAGTAGAGTAGCTGCCGGGTGCGATCAGGCCAAGTGCTTGTAAAGGATGCGCTGAGAGGGCTGACGATGTATCTCTGATGCCAAACTGACGGACAACACGGCGCAACTCAGTCCTGAGTGTGTTTTGTCTTGTCGCGTGAAGTTTCACAGCCTCCAGGAGATGCAGCGCAGCGCTTCCCTGGTGATGAAGGTCTTCGTGCAGAGGGACTACAGCGAGGGCACCGTCTGTTGCTTCCAGACCAAGTTCCCCCCCGAACTGGACAACAGAGTGAGTCGTGCCATTGCTAACTATTCCCGCTGCTGTTCACATTCACGTCCATACAGATATTTGTACTCGTTTCTATTTTATTTCCAACCTAGGTGATATTTTTAACCCTTTCAGGGTCAGCGGTTACTACAGCGGACAGCTTCATATTCGCTCCAACGGCATTTTTTCCCTTATGTTTCTTTTTATGTCCATCTGCTACGATTATACAGTCTATTATAGCCTTGCCAAGTACAGTAAGTCTTTTCGGTCAGACAGGCCACCTTCACACCATAGTAAATGTCTGCATCACTTCACTTTTAAATGTGCTTTGGCAGATGCTGAGAGGCTTTACATTCTGTTACCGCCAAATTGTTTCATATTGCAGACAAGAGGAGGGCTTCTAATTTGTCGCCGTCGAGTAGTAAATGTCTGCATCACTTCACTTTTAAATGTGCTTTGGCAGATGCTGAGAGGCTTTACATTCTGTTACCGCCAAGTTGTTTCATATTGCAGACAGAGGAGGGCTTATAATTTGTCGCCGTCGAAGCCAAGCAACACTTCCTGACTCTGATGACGTGCACGTTTTTGTTTCACAAGTAGATTGAGAGGAACCTGCTGGAGGAAACGGTGAAAACCCTCAACTCGTACTACCTGGAAGCCGAAAAAATTGGAGGCCAGTCGTACCTTGAAGGATGTCTGGCTTGTGCGACGGCCTACGTCATCTTTTTCTGCATGGAGACACGCTATGAAAAGGTAAATAAGAGACTGTCACAAAGCAATAGGATGATATACTGACTTGAGTGGAATTGAAGTAAAATGGAGAAAAGACGAGCACGTTGCATGCCTTATGGAGCCTTGCTTTCTTGCTTATTTTCTCAAAAGGCATTCGATCACTCTTTTTTTTTTTTGTATTACTACATTGCTGTAGTTCATTCAAGCATCATTATAAGTTGTGGAAATGATTTCATACGGAGCTGTGTTATATTTTTTGAAAACTGCATTCCTCCCCCAAATTGGTTTTAACCACCAATCAATTCCCTAATCCCCTCTCCAGTCGAGTAAAAAAGGTATATGCAGTACATGCGGAAATCGACCATGTTCCAGTCTGAGATGTTTCTGCCATGCAGCCAAAAATAGATGGATTCACCCAACCATCCGTTAGTCCTCATTTGGGTCATGGGTGACTTTGGGCAAGAGACAGGGTACACCCTGGATCGGATGACTGCAATGGCCTCGTGAGACTCATTGCTTGCAGTAGGAAAGCCGCGCCTTGCGTGCCTCCCACCCAGCCGATGAAGTGGTATCGGTTCATAGTATTGGAGCATCTTTCCGATTCCGATGTCCAATATCAGCACAGATCGCGCATCCTCATTTTTGTCAGTACAATCACTTGCCACCTGCAATAGTTCCTCTTTTCACCCGATTGCGTGCTTGAATGCACCCCCGCACATTGAGGTCGCAGTTGTTTGCACCCGCATGAGCCAGAGACACAGCAGATACAATCTGCTCGCGCGATAGCTTAATAGACCCTGCTGCGCAGGTGGGCGAAGCACGGCACGCCACTCGTACAGTATGTATCACGAACGTCCGTCCCGACAAAGGCCAGGTGATGATAGCAGAGTTGCATGCGCAACTTTGATCACCTGCTGCTGTTATTGGGTCAAACCGGAGCTGCGCAAAGTCCTGGCATGCCTCGGTTGGCCGATCTCTTCCACCCGCATCAATCACATCCCTGGTTTTGTCGCTTTTTCTAAACATTTCCTTATCAACCGAAGGCACTGGTGGCTGCGCCGAAGTGTACAAAGTTGTTTGTAGCTGTGATGAAGCCATGCGGAAAGGCTCTGCTCCAAGCTCTTTTCATGTCTTTTGTCCGCCGGTGGACGAGATGCTATCGGCCTCACTGGAGAGTGACTTGATTGACTCATTTGACAAATTGACCTCGGTTGAACGACGATGACAAGTGTAGCCACCCAAGATGATCTTCGATAAGAGGCCACACGCACCAGGGAGAGCGTGTGCAGAATCAGTGGAGCACCCAAAAGCCCGGATTCTTGCGGCGCACCTTCTCAATGGACGCTGATTGCTCCGAGCATGTTGGGATGTGCACTTGTGCACATGGCTGGGTTGCGCAACGCCGATAGCACGTGTCTATCTAGAACGTTTTGAAGAACATTTGAACATTGTTTAATGTCATACAAGTATGAAGAGAAGTTGACCCAAGAATTGGGAAAGAGTTCCGTGCAAAGGGCCACCGTTCCAGTCAGATGAACAGATGAGTTAAATAAATAAAGTTGAGAGAAAAAAAATTATTCCATAAATAACATGTTCCCCTTATTTAATTTGTTCATTTAAATTAGTCAACCAATCATTTAATCATACAAATTAAAAAAATAAACCAAAATACATGTTCAATTAGTTATTTTACTAGCATTTTTAATTATATTATTTTCAATAAAACTGTCAACCTAAAGGTTCTCAAACTTAAAAAAAAAATACTTGACTTCCAAAGTGCCATTGTAATGACCTCCATTAAAATACAGTCGCATTTTTTTGCACTGATGGCTTGCAAAAAGTGCAAATGTAACCATCCCTGCTTCGGTTGCTCACTTAACCAAAGAAATGATGCTATTGTACTCGATGACAGTTTGGAGCTCCACATTTAGTTTGACTGCATATTTCTGCGCCAGATTTTGGCTTATTAGTCCTCTGTCTTCTGACATTACAAATCTTTTTATTGGACTACAAGGCACATGCTTCCTCTGATGGTCTTACGGAACATTTTTTCATCTTCCCCCACTGGCTTTCCACGAAGTGTTGTAAATTAACACACAAGAGAGGGGAAAAAAAAGCACTTCGGTTTTATAACTTAGGAATTTGATTTGTCCATTTCGGGATCATTTTTCCGTCTTTTCCCTCTGCCAAATACAGAGAGAAGCGTTTACGACTGCGGTTTCTCCTTCGCGTTGGGTTTGCGGGGTCAGTACGTCGACAGCTGTGCCTGCAGCTGTGGAAGGCCTTTGCTCATCTCCAAGGAGCCGTTGTCAGGATTGCCGCAAAGCCGCTGTGGCTCTAATATCTCTTGGCGGAACACTGGAACGACCTTTAGTCAACCCAAAGAGGCAATGTTTACTTGTGCTCTCCGATAAATCAACACAAAACATGATTTTGCTGTTCAATAAATATGAAGATATGTTCATTTAATGACACAGATTCTTGTCAAGTGACTTTTTAATAGCCTCTATACTCATAGTTGGGTCATTGGAGTCTCTGTCCACCCATCAAGTGTGAAATTAAACAACCAAGCAGTTTTGCCAAATTTGTGACAGTGTGTCTGTGCAACTCAAATGAAAAAAAAAATCTTTGGAGAGCGGAAAAGAGAAACAATAACTGTAATAATGTGGTTGTGTCTAGAATTAGCCAATCACATGAGCACACAACTGCCACCATTTGAAGTGCCATTGATTAATTTCAAATAAATGTCAGCTGTTCTAGCTGCCTTGTGGCATTTGAACAAGGGTGTGTAGACTTTTTATATTCACTGATCCTGTTTGCTCACTATCAATGATGTGGCGGAGGATGTTTTTGTTTGAGGTTTCCATGGCCCACATAAACACATTGTAAGGTATGAACTGCTAATTTTATTGCTTTGCCAGCCCGCATATTTGTCCACACTCTGGGCTCTGTTCCCACCAGTACATGCCGCTTCTTTGCTTTTTCAATCCCCAATCTTCACCTCCAGTTAGCATAATAACAAAATCTATACTTGCTATTTGGCCATAGTAAGTAGTGACAGCGCAGGGGGTTATTGAGAAAAAAAACTGATGTACGTATTTATTTTTTAGGTTTTTTTTTCCCCCCCTCGCTACACAGATGTGCAAATGATCACGCTTGCCTTTTCACCAGCGCTGACAGCTTTCTTTGTGGCGGCGAGGCCCAGTGAAGTGCGGTTCAGCTGTCAGACACGCTTAGGCTGCTTCCAGGGGATGCGTGGCATATCAGCATTGATGTTGTCCACAGAGGCATATAGCCCGCGCTCAATAAGCTGCCCTAATTATGCCACTTAAATCTAATAGCTGTCCTTTCAGCATGACTGACCATCAGTCAGCACAAATCCTGTGGACATGTCGCAAGATGCTCTGCTGTCCCCGGCAAACACGTTATGCTGTGTGTGATGCAAGAAGGTTTTAGATAGCTGAACTTCATGGATTTTCTCGATGAGTAGAACAAATGGGACACTTTGCAATTTTACTGGTTTGAAATATTCAAAAGGGGAAACTTTAGTACACCGAGAAGAATGAAGAGTCCATCCATGCATTTTCTAATCCGCTTATATCCTCACGAGGGTCGCGGGCGTGCTGCAGCCTATTCCAGCTGTCTTGGGACACCCTGAACTGGCCAAACGCACGGCACACGCGGACGAACAACAATTTGCGCTCACATTCATGTCACCTAGGGACAATTTAGAGTGTTCCGTTAACCTGCCATGCATGTTTTTGGAATGTGAGAGGAAACCGGAATACCCGGAGAAAACCCACACAGGCACGGGATGTACACACAAATATTCATTACTTTAAAAATGATAATGCTTGTCATTTCAACGACCCATTGACTAATTATATTTTAATGGTGGTACCTTATCTGTTTTATTGATTTAGTGGTTTACATGTAAATCATTCAAACATCTCTAATATTAACTTTCTATGTTGAATTTCAGGTTTTGAGGAAGATAACGAGCTACATCCAGGATCAGAATGAGAAAATCTATGCCCCGCGAGGGCTGCTGATCACCGATCCCATCGAAAGGGGAATGCGAGTTGTATCCTTCAGAGAGGCTCCTGTCACTCAAACACCACAAGCACATAATAGTGCTTGGTAAAGCCGCGACTCTATTACAGCAGTGAGAACAGATAAGAGGCGGCAGTGGTGTCGAGGTCACGAAAGCCATTGTGGTGGGAGTCCTTGAAAATTCCACACAGGGGAAACACCTCCTCCTCTTTGTGAATGTCCACGAGGATGCCCTCCGAATGGCACTTACAGTAAACTCCCTCAGAGAGGCTGTTCAATAGCTGACTGTCATGACTCAAAGGGAATCTGAAACAGGGCTGTGGAGAAGAAGGGCATCGTCAAAAGTTTAGTGTGCGTGCGCACGTGTGTTTGAGGCATCTCGCTCTGCTTTATCTTTCCTGAAAATGAAAGGAGTAACTCTAATTGTCAGTGAGCGGTATGAATCTGCGCAGAGGCGGGTTAGACCTTGTGTTGGTAATTTTGCAGATGCACGCAAAAGAAAGGCGGTTGGCGCCATTGTTTATACAGTTGACTTTGTTTGCCGCCAATCAAAGCAGATCCTCTCATTGCATGGAGACAAATGACGCGTGCGGCAAATGACGCAGTCATCCGTGTGGCCCCGCATCGTCACTGCTTGTAACCAGGTACCCCCATAGCTGTTTATAACCGCTGGCAACTTCATGTGTGCTGAACCCCCTCCATATCAGGCTGTTACAGTCCAAATGCACTGGGGCCAAATGGATGGAGATGGAGCATTGGGTGAATTTTATTTAGGACCGCTTACGGCAATACTATTCTACTTAATTTGTGTACCTAACAAGTAGGAAATAACATGACTACCTTTATTATCTGCTCAGGAGAAGTTCTCGATAGATATCTTGTTTTAAATCGTCGATGATTTTATGCCAAGCTCAATAGGGGGAAGCTACAGCAGCTGACCTCTCCAATGAAAGCAATGCATGAATGTCATTCAAAATGAATGTTCGAACAAGGAGAAATAACCCTGAACATTTTCGTGAGGAAGATTGTTCTAACACAGAACACAATACCTGGCCTCTTACATCCGCTACTTACTTGTCTATAGTCATTGGCTGCCATATTGGGTACACAAGCACAAACAAATCCAAAAAGCTCCTGTTAGCTGAGGAGTCGCGAGTGTTGGCCAGCCAATAGCAAACAGCAGTGCTATTGATGATTCCGGTGGAGGTCCAATTAGCAGGTGAGGCTCCTGATGGAGTAATGTTTGAAAAAGCAGGATGGTAAACTTCTCTAGATGAACCAGAGAAAGGTTCAGATTGCTTTTCGCAGAAGATCAGCCGCGCAATGTAAGGTACAATAAGTACCGAATGGTATCCAGTAATTCTGCATTAACATGACAAAAGTATGTAAGGTGCACTGAAGTGTGCTAAGGCCAGATTTAGTGTGTCCTGCCGAATTCCCCCTTAACCTCTCTCGTAGCTGGAGATCAGCGTATTCGAGGACCGAGGCTCGGGCAGCTCCAGCCCCAGCAGCTGCGCATCGTCGACGGTGGCCAGCGCTCGGTGACTGGAGGGCCAGCGCCAGGCTTACGGGTACCACCACGGGGGAAGCGGGACGCTCGCCAATATCCGCATGCTGAAACACGAGAGCACCCGCTTTTGAGGGGGAGCCATGCAGAGATCTGCAATGCGCTACCTCGGCATCAGGAGGAAACGCACACTGAGTAAGACAAATATCAGATCATGGTTACAGTCGGCTGCCAACACTCACCATTTGTTTCAGTCTATTCCTTTTATTTCCCATGGGTCCGTCTTGGAGTTATTGCTGAGTCAGCAGACTTACACTTGATTAGACTTTGTGTGAACATGTAATTGACTAAAAAAGGGAGGGTGCGTTTCACTGCTGGTGCACTGTCAGGGTTGGTACAGCAATTCACTTCATCAGGGTTGAAAAACTACCACTCACTCCTCTACAGTCTTGCATTCAGAAGGCATTTAGCCGATGCTGCTCTCCTTACTGAATTTAGCCTCATTAGCTAGCAGAGCGTTTTAGATCAGTGATATGCTTCCCATGCACATCAGTGAACAAATTCAAAATGGGACAAAATATATAAACATGTCAAAATGTCCACTCAAACATGAAAAAAGATGACATGAAGTGATGATATTACATCCCTTTTGCTAAATCCGTTCAATGTAATACTCAGCTGAATCATTGGTGTATTTTTACATATTGAATTTTATTTGTTGGCTCATGCCAACATTTCGGAACTTGAAGTTACTCTGCAATTCCCATTCCTCGTCGCCGTGTCCGCACCGTTACTGCAGATGTGACTCCCACGTAAACTAAAATATTCTAGAGATTCGCCGAAATACACGCCGGGATAAAGACGTGAACGCTCATGTGTGCACACAGCTGCAGACATTCGTATCGGCCTGGGCCACAGGCAGTATTCTCGGAGGTTCAATATAGGCGCTGCAGGACTGCTTGTTTGTTTAGTTGTGTAGACCGCCGTCCCAGTGCTACCTCACATGCAATCAAGTCAAATAAATGTATTGGTTTGAAATTCGAAGTGTCAGACAAATGTGTACATAGCTAATCTCAAATGTCAAATCAAACCATGTACTGTAAGTAGTCAATGACTTGCTTGTTGGTCGATTTGAAAGAAAGTGACAAGTTGAAGGGGTCATTTTCATGTTCTCCTGTAATGCACTGTTGTAGCGCCCTCTAGGGTAAAATTGGTGCCACTGTTGTTTTGTTTCCGCCCTCTTCACCACTTGCTCGCGTTGTATTCTTTGAGCTCATTTTCTTGTCCAGACATTCGCCATGGCTGCACATCTTTAAGTGGTGCCTCAGTAACTTATCAAAATAGAAATATAACAACAACACCCGCAAGGTCGAGTTGTGCGAGTGTGCATCCTCCTGAGCTTTTGATGCTTTCATGTTTCATCCCAGTGGATGGTATCTCATCCTGGTGCTGATGGACTGAGTCATTTCAAATGACTCTCCTCTGCCAGTGAGCCACAAACAGGCTTGATGGACAATGTACATGAACAAAAAGAAAAAGAGAAAAGAGAAAAGCAGCATGAAGAGAATTGTGCCGCACGTGCTTGTTAAAAATGATTTAAGAGCGAGACTGTACAAAAAGTATATGCTTGGAAATTGTGTCATTTATGCTACTGTTTAGTATTTATCATTTCATAATTCTTAGTTTTTATGGAGTTTCTTTAAAATCAAATGTCAATCTTGTCACCATCATATAATTCTACAGGTGAGATTGTGACGCTCAACATAGGGTTGTTTTGATGTTTTTTATTTTATTTTTATTTTTTGCATATTACCTCTAAACTTTTCTACAATTATATTATTTATTAATTTTTTTTATATACTGTATTTTCTCATGGAGTAGATATAATTGTGAGATATAGATATAATATAAATTGTAAATTTCCCCCGTGTGGGACAAATAAAGGATACTGTATCTTAATAATAACATACTGTAATATAATCATAAAAATGTGATCATTCCATTGCAATTGGTTGTTGTGCAATGGATTGTCATGTGTGTCCCTACTGTTGTAAAGGTTTGATTAAATTGTGTGTACGTGTGTGTGTGTGTGGGGGGGTATTCATAATACAATATCATGTACAGTAATACAATATGATTGCCATTAATAAGGTGCTTGATGAAAATAATGTACTGTATTGTAGTCAATGCAATCATACTTTAAGTATTATTCTAAGGCGCAGGTGTCAAACTCAAGGCCCGGGGGCCAAATCTGGCCCGCCACATAATTTTATGTGGCGCGCGAAAACCAATCAAGGATGTCAACTTCCATGATGATTCCTAAAATCTGTACCAAAATTTGAAATGATCATATGTAATAAATGAGAGCTGTTGTCAGCATTTTCTTGTTACCGAACCCCTCATAGTTATTATTCTTGACTTACTTATGTGGTTTCACAATCATAATGGCCCTCCAAGGGAAATGGCAAGTACCATGTGGCTGGCGACAAAAATGGGTTTGACACCCCAGTTCTAAGGCATCCGACATCAGATCATTGTTTTGTTGTAAAATCCAAACGCAGCTTTACCGATGCCATGACTGCCCTGCAGGCAGGCGGTGAGTGTTGCTTTTTATTCCAGTGCACAGGCCGCTATTTGGAGAAATGCGGTCCAGTGGACCTCCGCATACTCACGGTTCAGCCACTGTGGGATCTTCTCCTCGCAGACTGAGGTTTTTTTTTTCAATATTTTTTTTTTATTTCTGATTTTGAGGGGGGAGCCAATCACCATTCTTCAAGATTTTTTTTAAATCTATTTATTTTTAACCAATGGACATTTGTTTATCTACTACTTGAAAAAACAAGTGGCGGTCCGGAAAGAAAAAAAGTGCCATTTTTCTTTCAACACAGGAGGAGATGTACTACATATTGATATGTGGCCAGTGGTTTTCAGCGCAGGAATCTGATTAATGAAGACAAGCAAAGGAAGTGGAGATTCATTGGCACGTAAATGTGTTCGGAGAACCTCGCTCGATCACACTCTCCATTAACCTCCGTGCCAAAACAAGGATAACGCCTGTGTGCCAAGTCATGATGTATAGTCCACTTTTATGTACATTCCCACATTTGTTTATCTTTGTACTGTATTGGAGAGTCACATTCTGGCCAACCTGTAAACGAATACTGCATATCGTGCTTTTTTTTCTATTGAAATCGTTTTGTAAACCGTCTTCCGAAAGTGATCAAAGATGAGGCAAGAAAGTGGCTTGGCCGAATGGGAAGATGCTGACTCAGGCAGACAAAGGGTGAAATGATGAGTCACGCTGCACGGTTGAACTAAAGACAAGTCAAGAAGGATTTATGCAGCATTATTGGTGTGTTATTAAAGATGATTAGCACATCAAAAGTGACTTGTGGGTTTTCTTCTTTGTAATTGTCGATGTGTAGCTACCGCAAGAGACGTGAAGCTGATGCTTTGTATCCGGATGCTTCTGAAATGAATGCACTCCGAGGTCAGTTGAGGACCGGGTTTGAAATGGGCACACACTCACACACATCAGTGGGTATACAAGCTCGGTTTGTTTGTGGCTTGGGTTTGGGCGGTTTGCAATCATTTACCGTCAGTGAGTGGAAAGAAATTTTGCCTGCCGACCAACTACATCTGTCATCTCGCTCCAAATCCTGATTCCAACATCTGGCTCTTAAATTGTTAATTACTCCAGTGTGTTACAACTTAGCCCATGTAAAAATCGTTTCTATCTGAAATATTAGGATTTTACAATATTCAAATGTTTGCACATTATTGTATCTGGATACAATTGAATTCAGGTAATATACTATTATTTATATTCAATATTTACACATCTCATGGACGCTTCACGAGTTACAAAATCCAATGACAACCAATCAATATTTCTACCTAATGATCACTTTAGTTAATTGAACATAATTACAACTCTAATATTAAAAATATTGTTGAACTAAGACCTTAATTGTGACGATGTTGTATTTGGCTTTGAAATTTAAAACAGTTGAAAATAGTCACTGATTGTACAAAAATACTTGCCTGGCTTCACAGGCAACGCGGGGCTCAGTTTGCACTCCATGATGGCATGAGTGTGAGTGTCAATAGCTGTTTGTCTCGAGATGTGACCTGTGATTGATTGGCGACCAGTCCAAATGCTGAAATTGGATAAGCAGTATAGAAAACAAATGTATGGATAAAAAGTCAACCTAAAGTGACCGACAATTGATTCATTTGGCATTTATTTCATTTGTATGCTTCTATCTTCCGTATTTCATGAATCAGTTAAAAGCGTTCATTTTGGTAAATGCTGACACAAGTCACTTTGTTGATGAAGTTGCAATTTTTTTTATTCTCAAACGTTTATTAAAAATGTGAAATCACAACAGAAGTTGTCTCCGGTCACTTGGAGCAGGTCAAAGGTCACATGCCTCACATCATAAAAGACTAAGGACCAACAGAACTGACAACCATGAAAATCGCGCGCGTGTGTGTATGTGTGTGTGTGTGTGTGTGTGTGTGTGTGTGTGTGTGTGTGTGTGTGTAGCGTATCCATCATGGCCCACTCATAAAGCCAATGATGAAGCTGTTCTGGCAAACTATGAGACATCTCCACACCTGCGTGAATGTCCAAAGGTCACTTTGACGCCACTGAGCAGCTTTCAGCCTCCTCATAGGCCTCATCACCCGGACCCCCCCCCCTCCCATTTTGTTTATTTTTTTGTTTTTGCTCCAATTGTTTTGTATCCATCTTTTCAATTTCCCTGTTTTCTTGGCTGCACGTCGCTCCTTCCTTTTAGTCGACTTCCTCTCCGCCCTTCCTGCTTTAGACAAGAAATATAGGTCGTCTATTACATCATGTGTCTGGATGGAGAAAATAAACCGATATTGATTGGTTGAAATGCTTCTACCGGTGAATGAGTAGAAAGTCTGTAAACTGCATTTCTGCAGTGTTGTAAGATGATTGAGACTGGCAGCGGTGCTTGGCACAAGCAGCACCGTGCTTATAATGAAGTGCCCCATTGTGCGCTTGCTTTGAATGCAAAGTCCCGACACAGCCCGCGCCTGGCATCGGACAAAAGCCAGAACTGCACTTTCCAAATTCTTCTGTGTCCGGAATCATACATGAATAAACATTTACCGGTAATTCATTACCGCCGCCCATACTGTAAGTAACCTCTGCAAACATCTTGAATTCAATCCGAGACATGTAAATCTGGCAATCCTTGGTTAGAATTTAACGTTTGGCTGAGCATCGTCAACTACTTTATCGACATTCAAATTCTAGATCGGGGTGAAAATGTTTTCTCTCAAAGCTGGCTTTTTCACGTTGCTGTTCTGTGTGACACGGAATAAAGGTGACACATGTATGACTTGTGCCATGCTGCCTGTAAACCTTTAGCCATGTAGACGTTCTGTATGAAAGGCACGAGCGTGAAATGTTGAACCAAAACACATTACTTTTGTCTTACTAAAGTACGTTAGCTTAACGCTAGCACACCTTGCAAAATTTTATCGACTAAGGAAACTGGCATTGGTTCAATTATTAACTTTTTAACAACATATATGTGAACACAAGCAGAAGTGGCGGCCCGGTGGTTCAGTGGTTAGCGCGTCGACCTCACAGTGCAGAGGTGCAGGGTTCAATTCCAGCTCCCGCCTCCCTGTGTGGAGTTTGCATGTTCTTCCCCGGGCCTGCGTGGGTGTTCTCTGGGTACTCTGGATTCTTCCCACATTCTATAAACATGCATGGCAGGTTAATGGAACACTCTAATTTGTCCTGAGGTGTGAGTGGGAGCGTGAATGGTTGTTTGTCTATGTGTGCCGTGCATTTGGCTGGCAACCGGTTCAGGGTGTCCCCTGCCGACTGCCCAAAGGCGGCTAGGATGGGCTCCAGCACCCCCCGCGACCTATGTGAGGATAAGCGGATCAGAAAATGGATGGATGGATGGACAAGCAGAACCAAGTCATGCAGAGCATGCAACAATACTCAGAGGCTTGTATTCTTTATCCTCCGTGAAAAAAAAAAAGGAGTACCATAGTTGACACAGTCCAGTGTGTCATCATCAAATCTGCACATAGTATGTATGTATGTATTTATATATTATTCTGCCCTCTGAGGGTCCTGGAATTGATTAATCATGGCATTGGTGTCTTTGCGCCTTTTAGTCTCAGTGAAATTATTCCCATTCATCGTCATTCTTCATAATATTTTGTCATTTTGCTCACAAAATATTGAGGTCAGAAATAATGAATGGGTCTTTTCAGCACAAAATGCATGGATTGTTCTTCTCACTGCAAGCCAGTGATTACAATAATGCAAAGTGATTCCTTGTTGAACAGCAAGTTTTGAATGCATGTATTCAACATTATTTATAAATTCCACCTTTAAAACCACACCCCAGTGAAACCTGCAGCTTCAGTCCGGCACCTTTTATTTATTGTACTTCGTTTCAATTTTGGCAGATTCTTCTGTGCCCTGCCTGTTAACGTTGGCATAAAAAAAAACCCTCTGAATTTATTTAACCGCAACCTGATTGACAGCCCTTGTGTTGACCTCCTCCAAGTTTTAGGGGCAAAATAAAAAGCAGTTTTAATGCGACGCCACCAATCAGCTCGCTTCCAAGTGACATAGACGTTTTTGTGTTTAGAGCCGGGAAACATAAATGACGCCTCTCATTTCGCTAATATTGCACATTAGCTTGTTTTATTACGAATGCTGTCCTAACATGACGAAAATGGTCTGTAATTTCAGCTGTTAACTCTGCAGTCAGTCACAATTCTACTGCTGCTTCATCACTGATCTGAGTTGCTTTAATCGTGCTCATTAGATCAGCCAGAGTCAAATGTAATCAAATCACACGAGGTGAGCCGATGCCATTATGATTATCCAGCAATCTATTTTATTTTTGCTTTTCATCACTGTCGGAAGAGGATGGAAACCTGAATCACACAACTGACACATGAAGGCAGGAGACCATTTAATGCACATTTACACCGATGGACAAGTTGGACTCTTCAATGATCATATTTTGGACCGTCTACATGTGCAAAGAGAGATTTCAAAATTGTTGTTCAAAACAGACCTGAACTCTTATCCATTTTGCTGCCATGACTAAAAACGGCTTAAAAATCTGAAACGCATAATGAATTTGTCAAACAACAGTATGTGAAATAAAGAAGAACATTTGCGTGTTATTGATAGACTGTTTTTATTTCTGCTCATTATAGTTGATGATTTTGTTTATTTGTCTTATTTTGCAGCAAAAAGTAATGGGAAATAATATGTGAAATATTGTAAACAGGAAGTTGAAAAGAGAATCATGAAATGCAATTAAATGTTATTTGTTTCATATTATAGAGGATTTATTTAAATATCACTGCTCTCTCATGAAATATGGTCGACGGGATAATGCACAAAACACAGAAAAATGCGAGAAAACACATACAAATTAAGAAAATAACATTGCAGATTGCAAAATACACACAAACAAATAAACCCATGCAGATATAAAAAACTTAAATTAGTTGAAATTGAAACACTGGACTCTCCTTCCAGTACAGAGAACTGAACAGGTTATAACACTTCAACCTAAACTCATGTTCACATCACATAAACTCTGTGACTGCAACTACAAATAAAATGTAAACATCCAAAAAGTTCTGGTTTATTTTGACATTTATTCTTCAACAAATCCACTTGTGCTCTTTTCCTTTCAGGAAAAATATTCAACATACTGTACTGTGTCTCCACCTGCATAGCTACTCTCTCTTGTGGTTTTTACTTCAGCGCTGAAGTTGAATGTTGACATTGTGTTCTTGTAGGAATTGGAGGAGTTTAAACGCATGCAGGTTGTTTCGGACATGTGCGCATTGTGTTCCAGTGTTGCTTCAGTTTGCACAAATATTGCATCGTCGGGGCACATATAAAAGATGCACACACACACTTAGCATCCCCTTCTCACAGAAAAGGATCTATTGGACATCATTCAATAACACCATTTTAAAAGGTCGAGTTTCCTCTCAAGCCAAAATTCATCACAGCATTCCGTTATTGCATTCACTGATGTCTTTCTGTCATCATGTGCACTTCCACTCTTCCCAAAAACGATGTAATCTTTCTTCCAGATAAGTCTGAAGTGGTCGAGCAGAGATGTGCGTCACTGTCATTTTTTCCCTTTTTATTTTCTTGAGGATTAGCTCATACTTTGAACAATCCTCTGATGGCTTTTCAGTTAGCGCCCTTTGCCATGTTTCCCACTGGGATAGTTGTTTCCAGAGGACAAATGTGCCATTAGATGTTACTGTATTCAGTTAAACACATTTTTTTTTCTTGTTATCCTTATTCTAGCCACAAACTTGACCAAAAAAATGACTGCCCAGTTTGGCACATGTATGGGGAAATAAAAACCATTGCGGGGCACACAAACCTATTTTTAAAAAAAGATATGCGACAAATAACAACGGCAAAAATCTGCGCCTGTTCTTACTAACCCCGCCGACAATCGTGCGTCTCGTTCCTGAACTCGTTCTCTGCTGTAGTACCGAGACTGACCTGCAGGAGAAAGCACAGTGTCCCAGCTCCTCCAGACTGCCGGCAAATACAAAAAAAGAAGAAATAGAAGCAGCTAGGCTAAATATTTACTTATCTTGTACTATAACTGCGTTATGATTGTAAACTCTTCTCGTTGCCATTTTTATTCTGGTAAGTGAAATGATTGAGACATTATCCAAGCAACACAGCTAGTTGCTCCTCTATTTGTACCCGCTTCCTATTTGGTTATCGTTAGCATTTCACATTTTCGAGATTAACATTGTCAGCCCTGATCATTTTCAGAGCTGATTGGTGAAGAAAAGTCATTTTTAGCACAATCTAAACCGCAGCATAATCGCTCAGAACTCGAAACTTTCAGAAACATCTGATCATCAGGCCTGAATGACCAGTGTGCTAACATGATCAAATTAGGCCCGATTATCGAGAATATCATATTTATACACCAGTAAACCTATTGTAAAGCATTGATATTTCCTTGTTAAAAATTGATCTTTATTGTACAGGCAAGAAACACTGAACACTAATGGCAAATGAAACAAAATCAATTTGATGAATGCTCTTTGTTGTAAGTGAGCAAAAGATATCTAAAATAAAATACTGGAATTGATTGAATCTAATATGCAGGGCCCAGCTGCTAACGCTCTCTGCAGCAGTTCCTTGGCTTGCAGAGAAAGCATGACTCCATTGCAGCTCCATCTAACATCCTCTGTATGAGACTTTAATTGTTTCAATACCATTTAGTTGTCATTAAAAACATCTGAAAGCTCTCTTTTTATACTTTTATTTACAGGTGTAGTCTGTGGTCTGGATCCAGCTTGTTAACAGATAAACGGATTATTGTCATGACCAGCGTTGTGAGCTCAGATGAAATGTGTGACACTTTCGACCAAAGTGCACAAACATTTTTAAGATGGCCATGAATCACACAATCTCACACACTAGCCTGAAGGAGTTTAGTGGATCCTCAGCCAAAAAGACATGATGAAGCTCTGTGATGATGGTAAAGGCAGTCAAAACTGGATGAGAGCGCAGTTGAGAATTGTGAGTATTCCAAGGAGAATTTATCCCTGGAGAATCATTTGGAAGGTTTAGAGAACACGCTGTCAGCCGCTTCATGCTTTTGGTCATCATTCGAGCCAAAATAGTTCTCGAAACTGTTTTAAGAATCATGCGGCTGTGAAGCATAGTTCACATCCCTGTGATGAATTCTACAATTGCACCGTTATGAACAGGGGTAGGCAAACTTTTCTAAAATTATATCTAAATAGTTAAAATTTGTATCTAAGTACTTAAATCTAATGTTCCTAGCTTTGTCCCATGAATGCGATAAGTTTAATGGTGATTCTTTGTGTCGTTCAACGACTTTTTATTGAACTAGCTGAACCAGGTGCACGGTAGTACACGTTTGAGAGACATATTAACCCTTTCTTTGCCAGCTGAGCTAAAACAAGATTGTGCCGATGTTCATATTTTGAAATGATGTTCATTCTGTACTGTAACGCTGACAATGGTGCACATATAAAGATAATTAACCGTTAAATGATTTAAATAATCGCGGGTGAATATTTTCTAAATTGTCATTCATTACAGAATTTTTTGTCACTCTTAATTTTATTAAGCTCTTAAAATGGGTACTTTTATAGCAGAGACATTGGCTCGTGTGTTTTTTTTTTAAATTTTCGTTGTAGCTGCAAAAGTGTATAAGAGCAATCTGCTGTGTTTTATAGCATGCAATAAATACTTGTCGATGTGTTAAATGACTGACGAGCATTCTGAACAATTGTAGAAAGTGGAAAGGCTTGAACTAGTTTTAAAAGTATTTCACTGCTGTCTTTTATGCTGTCGTCATGACCTTTGTGAAATGGGCAGGAAAATCCCCCAGGCAACGTTAAATGGTCACTTTCGTTTGATTTGATTTCCAAGAAGGAGACTTTATTTCGGGAATATCATGCTGCTCAATTAAAAAAAAAGATTTTCTCCTTGAACTTAATGTCTTTAAAATTGACGTGGTGAACTCAGTAAACTTAATTTAAAAGACAGTCGTAATTATTCTTCAAAGCAAATCATTTATAATGATTGTTAGACTGCTAAACAAAGCCAAATGTGCTGTCGTTTGTACTCTGTTATACGAGAATGCTCAACATACTCGTTGGGCTTCTGAGAATTATTGGAATGAAAGAAACTAACTTTCAAATGCTAACCACTGTCAAATTGTAACGAAACAATATTATAATATGTAATGGTGAAAATAATGTTTTGACTCTAATTGCATGTCTGCCATGTTTAATTTGATTTTACATTTATTCAGGGCACATGCAGGGAGCGCCCACAAACACGGTGAAGCTCATGTTAATGGGATCAAATATAATTTCGTGATTAGTTGTTTTTAGTGAGGTCATGTGGACTCCCATAAATAAAATTAAACCTCATGCCATTACACAAAAAGAAAGTGTTCATCTTTGCTGTGCTGTCGAATTATTAATAGTTAACGAAATGTAACCCACCACCGCTGACAGATGGTCTGGCATATGTTCCCTAGCGCACACACAACACACACACACACGCTCACACACGCTCACAACCTGTAGCTTGGAGACCTGGTGTTCCTCAGCATCCTGGTAAGCCCTAACGGAGAATGAGAGCGGCATTGTGCACATACAGACGGCTGCCTCAAAGTGTCCCTAATGATTGTGGCCGGTGGAGCCAGAGGCTTCGTTGCAGTGGTTTTTACTCGCTGCAGCCCCCACTTATTGAATTGGACTCAGCTCAAATCCCACTGAGATATATGCCAGGCGACGACAAAAGGGCTGTGCGGCTCTAACGCAGTTAATTCTAGCATGCTCCCTGCAAGTTCCTGTCGAGCCCCAAAAGTGATGCATGGTGGGAAAACACGACCGATATCACAGCTCCATTGAGCTTGTTTTAGGATGAAAAGGAGGAGAAGGAGGAGGAGAGAATGTTTTCTTCAAGAGTTTCTGTGGAAAAAGGAGGTTCCTACAGTAGTCCACTCTGGAGATGGTTCGAGATGAGAAGAAGCACGCCGAAGGGTGATAGCCAGAAAGAAATGGCCGACCATGTGCGTTCCGCAGAGGATCGCGTCTTCCCAAAGTAAGCCACCTGGGCTGCAAAGAGAAGAAATTGGCCAACATGCGTGCCTTAATGGCTACCAGTGTAATCACATGGGAAAGGAGGATTAGGGATGCAAGGCAGCGGGCGTGCAGGGATTAGACCAGGTCAGAGATGTTAGCACCGTGAAATAGTTGACGTCAAGCTAATATAGTGGAACCTCTGAGCTTGAATTCATTCCGGGACTCTGGCTGCCCTTGGATTTGTTTTTCACATCGCAGCTTTATCAAGTCATAGTCAAACAAGTGTTAAAAGACCTGAACGCATGGTATTAAAGAAGGCATTGTTAGTTTATTTTTAATTTTTCACACTAAAATGTAATTAGATGAAAACTAAAATTGTCCTACAAAATATACGGTGGATTCCCAGAGACAGAATTCAAAGCACTGTTTCCCTAAAACTGCATCATCATACTGCCGAGACCACCATGGTGGATTTAGGTCCACTGCACACTGACACGGCCAAACACGACTCTATTGCACAATCTCGAATAGTTTTGAATTGACGTTCCACCCGCATAGTTTCACGGCCATTAACGTGTGATTCAAATTTCAAACCGCAACAAAGCCAGTCACTCGGAAACGTGACCTAAGTCAACTGCACCTTGGTCACTCACCCACACATGCAGACCCATCATCGTTGGGCTCAAAGCCTTGAGTGCATCTTCTCTTGGCGCGGCATTTAAAGCTGCCGTAGGTGTTTGTGCAAACAGGGCGGTCAGAGGGGCACACAGAGGGGAACTGGGTACATTCATCTTTATCTGAAGAACAGGAGGAGGTGACAAAGGAGGAGGGAAAGACCCCGGATGATGATTCGGACACATAAACGCCACAACCATCTGACGTTTTTGAACTTACCAATGCAGCGTCCATTTTCATTCAGAGCAAAGCCAGGACCGCACTGCAAGAGAAACTCCGTTTACCCCAGAGCGTACAAAGAAACAACACCGGAATGTGTTTTTATGCTCCAATGGTGTCAGGGTTGATGTGACCACGTGGGACGACTGTACCTCTATTTCCACAGTGGGGGTGACCTCATCGTCATCTTTCGGATAGTGGATCTCCAGCACAGAGTTGATCTCTGACAGTTCCAAGGGTCGAGCAACGGAGACTCCATCTGGCCAGTACACTTCCACATTTGTGGCCACATCCTTACCTTAGATATATGGGCAAGCACAGACCATATGTTAACCCTCAATTGCCGTTGATAGCCACATATCTTTTCTATAGTAATGGTTTGACAATGTCAAAATGGCAGATTTTTGCATAGTCCTGTATTGTGTGTCCATGTAAAGCCAAATTTTTAGCGCAGGGTTATTCCTCTTTACCAAGAATCTTAATTCAAGTGGCATTTGTCATGTAAACACAGGTTATTTTGTCAGGCAGCGATCTAGCCAGCAGGGGTGCCTTGAAATATTTCAGCTTTACTTGCTCCCATATGTCACTCTGTGGTTGAGAGGTGGTGAGTGACTGATGCCTTGAGCAAGTGTGCAGCTCTCTTGTGAGGTCAGGATGGTGCCAAAAGTTTGCTTGTATGTATTTTCGGCCTTACAGGAGAGGCCTTGGAGAGACGATCTGGTCTTGGGTGGGCCGAACCGGGAGCCAGTTTGTCACAAGGCAGGCTAGTTTCCAGCGCCAGCACCTGTCCCCCCCACCAATCCCTCGCAGAGATACCTCACTCTCCCTCGGGTGTCCAATCACACCAAAGGTAACAGCCCGATGCTTTACTCATGACTTTTTGTACTTTCCGACTCTGCTTATTCAATTTCTCGCCATCTGCATGTCATCAGTAGCGATGTCATCCGTTTTCATAATCAACTGATTGTTTCCTGTAAAAATCCATGTTTACGTTTCACTTCACTGTTCATCAGACAGTGGTGAGCTTTGTAGTGATCCAATTAATTATTCTCAGTTGCAGCAAGAGCAGAAAAAAAGCACATGGCCAAAAGTAGTTGGACGCATGGTCATTACACCGATACGGTGACGCCTTCAGCTTCTGTCCATTCATTCATCCAAATTTTTGTAAGGTGACTGATCTTGGGACGGCACCCGAAGGTCTTTTGAGTGACACCGAACTCATCCGAGCATGCCTTGATAAATATTTTATTGCCTCATCACCACTTGCAAGAAGATCTTGATCTTTCTTCTTTCTTACCGAGGCCGAAGTGTGCGACCGGTTCCATTTCACAGAGGTACCCCGACCCTCCATCGATGATACGCGTATGCGGTCCACTCCTCTTGGTGTACACCACCACTTTAGCTCCTCTGGCAAAAGCACCAAACTTGGTCCGGGGAATCACACGCAGCCATGAGTTTGTGGTCCCCTTTAGGACAGACACCAATAAGGAACATTAAGTAGTACCTTCAAGAGCCTCTCGGGAATTTTGTGTGAGTCAATATTTTAGAATGAAAATACACTGAATTTTATGGAGGATATTCTTTTAAAATGTGTTTAACTATTGTCATTCCCATTTCCTAAGTTTACCTAAAATGGCAAAAGATATCCATAAACCTAGCAACAAAAAATGACCAAATGACAACTTTTGTCACCTCATGTTGAAGTGTCATTTGAGATTGTTGTGTTGAATTTCAATTCGAAATGTGCATATGTATCCTCCAGATACATATACTCTTATAACTGCTGGATTTTAATCCAAATTGGGTGAAATATCTCATCCAGCGTTAGGTCCAAAATGGACTGAGACAATGTTGGGTAATTGAGGATTTGAGTCAAGACTTCAAGCATACTGATGAGTTAAAGCTACCAAAAAATGTGTTATCAGTATAGCTGTGGTTAAAACTAATATTGTTCGAAGTGCCGATCAGCTTCAGTCCGCACAAATCAGGTCTCCAACTCCGTCTGTTCGGTCAAAATAATAAACCCAACCTTCGGTAAAAGTAATTCAGTCTGGCCCAGGTCCACAGCTACCTATTGAGTGGGTTTGGAAAACAATCCAGTTTATTTTATGTGTATACCAATTTTCACTTCACTGTGTGTGTGCGTGCTATACATGATACAATACAATACAGTATGTGTCTCTACAGTATATATTCCTGGATGATTTAGTTTGACATTATTGATTCGACAATAGTTGTGAAGGGTTAACACTCACGAGGTTGACTTTGTAAATGGAAAGCGGCTGCGCTGCACTTTCACCATGAGACACCAGGAGCTCTAGACGACCGTCTCCATCAAAGTCTGTGGCGACAGCTCCTGGAGAATCAACATCATAACGACAGTACATTAAATGGACAATACACAGACTTGCAGACTAAGAGGAAATTCTTAGTGGGGTTTTAGTGCCATCTAGTGGCGGATGGAAGAACAACCACTTGTCGCTGCATTTTCTGATCTCTCGTGTTACAAGACCCAATTTTTCATCCACTCACCAGTTCCTCGTCCCTCTGGTTCAGAAGCTTCGCCCACATTCAGCTCCTCTAATTGGGGGTCTGCATGCTCTCTCCTGCTCACCCTGCCAGTGAGATAAGTGAGCACGCTGTTAATAAGATCACTGTCACACTGCTGTCAATGACCCACTGACGACATTAGGGACACTTCATAGGTTTGCAGTCTCCTTTCATTTGAGTCTCCTCTGATAAGTAACACGAGTAAAGATACAAAGCAATTGTGATGAGAATGCGTTTTATTTGAATGAAATGTGAAACGCAAATATTTCTTGAACATGGCACAAGTTTCACTCAAATGTAATTCTGTTCTAAGAAAATTGCAACTCATTTTACTTAAATGTAGTAGTAGCCTGTCACACAAGTTATTTCAGTTCTGCGTTACAATTGAACACTAGGGGGCTCAATGTAAAAGGAGTACAGAGCGTAAACTATGCTTGCTGGAGCGGAAATCATCATCCATTTTCTGCAAAGCATATTTAGCGGTCGCCTTATTTGACTTCCAATTAAAAAAAAAACGTAACTTGCATTTTGTTATAGCTTATGACTTTAAAAAAAGCACTGACCTTTCCTCTTTGCACCACACAGCATTTCCATATGGAATGCATAGAAGTATAATTTAATATGCTACAAGTCTGAGCCAAATATTGATGGCCCGATCCTAAATTAATTAGCCCGGGCACAATAGTGAGCTTGTTTTTTTCATGGCCTGAGAGCGGAGTTAAATGAGTTGCTTCATCTTCATAACAAACGACGACAGAGCCAAGTGCTCTGGAGCGGTGACCTCCGTCCGACCATCATTGTGTCCAAAAAGACAAATTCTCCTTCGGTGACCTGGCAAGCAGGCGTGTTTTGATCCAGAAAACCGTTGGGGCTTAAACTGATTATTGATATTCCGCATGTTTGGATTCATCCGCTAATGGCAACATTCATCAGATGTTTCATTCAAGCTGCTTGGGCTTATGCTAGAAAGTAAGCTTTGAACAACTTGATATGCATCTTAAGATTGTGCTGAGAGGGCTGAGTTCATTAATATTATCTAGCAAGGAAGCCCAACCTAAAACTGTCTTTAATGAAAGAGTCGCCCAAGTGTGCAGAAGGATCCTACGTCTTTAATGAAAGAGTCGCCCAAGTGTGCAGAAGGTAGGATGGCAGATAAGGATCCTTGGCTGCGAATTCTTACCTGTTTCAAATTGAACATTTTAAACATAGTCAGTGGCCACAAAATTAGGTATAGCTTGGGAAACGGCAATAACAAAAAATTTGTTGGACTGTTTGGACTGACACTGCAGCGAACAATATAACAAATGAATCTATTCACTGTTTATGAAGCTGTGATATTTTTCTCTTGCAAGTTATGTGACTGAAATGACAAAGACTCGGTTTTGAGTTTCTTGAGGTGTTTTTGTGTCCTCGTTGAGCTAAATATTAGAAACACTTCTCAGTTGTGATGCAGTGTACACCACGGCAAACAACAACCGCAATAAATCAGTGGCGGGGAGGAGTGTTAGGTCAACACATACACTACAAATAAGGTCAATTATTTTAGTTGCTATCATTACCTGATTTCGATTTTTAGTTTACAGTGTTGGGAAAGTTTTGCAAACATGTTTTGCTAGCATAAAAATGGAGCCAACGCTAGCTAGCTCAACCGATTGTGAAGAGTTTACCTAAACAGTCTGTTGGCTGATGGCCCCCTGTAAGCAATGTTGTTGAAGAACACCTCCAGCTCATTGTCGTTGTCAAAGTCGGCAGCAATAACGGTGCGGACTGGGGATGGCATCGAAAACTTCTGTGAGGCTATGTCCTGGGAAGAAAGTATACCAATACAACAGGACAGGAAATTGAAAGAACAGTCTTTCCAGTGAACTGGTTTTTTTTGTTTGTTTTTTTTTCTTGACGGCAAATTTGTAGCTTTTAAATCATTTATTTACGAGATCAGCTTTATGGCTTTGATCCGACAATGACAATCATTTGAAATGGAAGTGTGCACTCATCTTATTCCATAACCTTGAGTCCGCAAGGTTATGTTGCTCAGCAGACAACATTAATAAACTCCGTGTAGGCCTTGACTCCAAAACTAATCTGTCAAATGATCAGCCCCTCACTGTAAAGATTATTTTAAGATGGGCAGGTTGTACTCAGAGAAGTAAACTGTGTCTTTCCAAAATAAATAAATAAACCACCAAAAAAAAAAAAAAAAAAGCTCATCAGTGTTTTTGGACGTGAAAGTAACAGATGTCTTCCTGCTTCACTGATGCAGTGATAAGTCGGGAAAGAATTATTGAACAACCCTTCACTAGCTCCAGTATTTACACCGTGTTTTAATTATAAGGCTCATAAAGCTGCTGGGGGGGTTGACCTTCTTGCTTTTTAAGGTGAAGGAGAGGCAATGGCCGACGGAGGCCATGAAGTCAGGGGTGGGATGGGGGGGGGGTGCTTCGGGCATTCAGGTACAGTAGATGAAGGATGGATGACAAAGACCCACTTTACAACCTCAAATGCACACAAGGAAAGATTTGCAGGGAAGCCATGTGTATGACATGGTCAAGGAATGTATGAATTTGAACTTGTTTCTTTCTAACTGGAAACACAAAGAAAAATGGTTGCTGTTGTTTTTGTAATTTGCTTAAATTCCCCATTGAAAGTAATGTACAGTAAGTGTGAACTGAGTATCACTATAAAGTGCCTTTGGGGTCCGTATTAAATCATTCAGTCATCATGAAACTGTACTTGTATGGAAACACAAGGCCAGGTATCTTAGAATTTTTTTTCCCCCTTTAAGAGATAAAAAGTCACATTTAAAATCTAGATTTCATTTCTTTTGTCCATCCTTGTCTGATATTTGCATGTGTTTGATGATCTTAAACACGAATGAGGGGAAACCACACTATAAGCATGTGGATACATGTTGTCTGATATTTGCATGTGTTTGATGATCTTAAACATGAATGAGGGGAAACTACACTATAAGCATGTGGATACATGTCTGTGTCTGTGTCTGTGTCTGTGTGTGTGTGTGTGTGTGTGTGTGTGTGTGTGTGTGTGTGTTCAAACTATTGCAAAGAAAAGTGCAGTAATAGATTTTAATTAAAGCCCAAACAGGCCTAATCTGCACTTTCCGCTGCAGTGGCAAGCTGCTGTTTCAGCCCAATTTAATTAGCGGTTTAGTGGAGTGATACAACAGCTTCATTATGCAAGCCAAAGGTCAGCACAGCATGCGGGAATGTCAACCCGGGTGGGAACAAGCCATCTTCAATTTGTTGTGGGCTCCTGATTTAACAAAAAGAAAAACATTGGCCAGTTTATCCAATTTGTCTTGTGTGTGTGTGTGTGTGTGTGTGTGTGTGTGTGTGTGTGTGTGTGTGTGTGTGTGTGTTTATGACAACATGTATAAATGTGTGTACTTGCGTCATGTTGATGGAACTATCTTCAGGCCATGGGTCACACATTAACCTCTTCTTTGACCCCCATAAAGATGTCTCCACTGCCATTTATCTCCTCCATAAAGGATGTCGGGTTCCGCCAATTCAAACACAGTGAAGCTCATCGCAGCCAGCGCCACCTCGTGCATTGCTTACGCACACAGCTGATCATCTCTTTGAACAGCTGTCAATACTTTGTGAAACTATTCATCTATTCACACCCTTTGTCTGCATTGTAAAGGTGCATTGACTTCACATTGATTTTGGCAGAACAAAAACTCACATCAGCACACCGTGCATCGATTATTTGCTACGACGACGCGCATTTGATCACGCCAAAACAATTACTCAGCATCCTTAAGTAATTAAGTAATCAACATCCTCTTAAAATTCAACTTCAGTAACTTTTGAATCATTTCGGTTTGTTTTTTTATGTGTGTGGGTTACAAAGACATGTCATTACCTAATTCTTTGTATTTTCATCATGGTGTTTTCCATCTCAAAAATGTTGCGCTGTCACAGTATTTCAGCTCTTAATTAACCTATTTTGAAATATTTGCGTACAAAAAAACAGCATTTTTTTTCCCATTGAACACAATCTATTTTATTTTTGAACGATAGAATATTTGGTCCAGAAGCAACGTGTAGCATGTTAAGTTGAAATCAATGTTCACATTTTTCTTCTTTTTTAATATATCTTACAAAGTGAGAGTGTCCCATTACTGGTGAGCTATTTTGATAACAGACCTGTGGCCTGCTCATGTTGTTCTTGGGGCTAACTAGTACCCGCTGCCACCATTTATGGTTCTAGCACCATGCACGTAAATCAGAGCAAAAAAGCATCTGTGTTTGCAGCGTTTCTTTCGTCTTGCTCCCTCCCTCCTCCCTCTTCCGTGCGTAACTGCTCACCGCTCCCCTCTCTGCCCATATTGTGCCCTGCTTGGATTTCCCCTCAAAAAAACAAAAGAAGACCTCATTACTGATGACAGCCAGTGACTTTTGACTTTTTAAAACCACAATAAACCGCGTAACTGATAATCAGCCCCTGCCTACATGTAATACAGACGCTTACGTAGAAAGTATGGTCTCACCTTGAACCTCTGCTTACGGTTGTTAAGTTGCATGTAAAGACGATGAGGCCCATTCCAGTTGCCGTAAACGATGTCCGTCTTTCCGTCACGGTTGAAGTCTGCGAGGGCTACGCCTCTGCCGTGCTGCATGGGGTCCTCCACCCCTAAAAAGACATGTACACGTTGACACAGTAGTGTGCAAATCTGTCCTAAGGCAGTATTACAACTACAAGAAATGAGTCAGACTGGCACTGTGGCAGAAATACAAATATGTTCATCCTTATATCTTTTGAAGAACATTTTTGTTCCACCCGCAAGATCACAACATTGCGAAATGATCTTGTTACGCATACTGAAAAACCCATATCGTCGTTAAGATGCCGACGCTACAAAACATAAGGTCATCTTTTATACTGTGCAGCATGCGGTAAAATTCTACTTCAATTAATCCGAGAAACTGTTGACTTACCTTGGCGGGGGCTGCCATTTTGGTTAGCAACAGTGTTCAATTTTGCTCAGCGGTTAATTTAGCCGCTGAAGCGAGATCATTAGAGTCATGACATGTTTTTGTGGGGAAATGTATAACAAGAGCAACAAGAACAACTCACACAAGTATCTCAAAGTTAAAGCCAACGGCGCACAAAAATATTACTTTTCTATGTTAGCGGCAACATCTTCCAGCCATCAGTTCACTTAACATTATTTGCATATTAATAACATTTGGGATTTCCCAAAGAATGAGATGGAGGAGGGATTTTGACACCTTCATTTATTTATTTGGTGCGGAAAAAAAAATCTCAACAGACAAGTTATTATTCCAAGTCTGTCAGAATCTTTAAACCGTTACTTTATTCTTACCAGCCTGCTGCGCCACATCAGTAAAAGTTCCATCTCCGTTGTTTCGGAACAGGAAGTTGGGTCCGTACTCGTTGTCGCAAAACACATCGGAGTAGCTCTGGCTCACGATGGGCCCCACAACCACACCTCGGCCTCCTGCGCGGTAATAATTAGCAAAGATGAATACGAAATAAACAGCAGCTCGGAAACGCTGATGAGTCCAAACGTGCTGACTGTCGTTTGTCGCTTTAAGACGTATTCAAGAGCGGAGCAGTATTTCCCAGTGACATTAGTGAGGTGACTGCCCTGCCATTTTGATACACAACTTCCCTGACTGGCCCCTCCTGAAAACAGTGTGATGAAAAAGCCATCTCGTGTGCTGTATATCATTCACAACTGTTTTGGCACAGCTCCCGCAGCCCGCTTTTGATGACATCTTGCTTGTAAAAAAATGAATGTGATGAAGATTGACTTGTCAACACACCACCGAAAACTTAACTCGGATGAATTTTAAGGACTTTTCAATGACGGCCCACAACGGAGCACGGTTTGACTCGCAAGGGTGTCAAAGACAGAAATCACGGGCAAAATGGTCCACGTTGTCATTTATTGTGCTGTCTTTACAAGAAAGCAAGTATCCATCACGCGTTTTGTTTTTTTTTCTTGTCTTGGCAGATGTGAATTGTTTGTTCAAGTGAGAGGGGAGTCAGTTAGAGGTTGTGATGTAAAGAAATTGTTTCAAGGGTATGCGCTACTCTTTAAAAGGCACATATAGGCACGCATGCAGTTTTTGTTAACAAAAAAAAACATCATTATTGCGGCTACACTGAAATAGGAAAAAAAAACTGTATTACCAGAATTATTGTTTTAATATAGTGGGTGAAGGAATAGACATTAATTAACATGAACTCCTCACAAAACACAAAACAGCAACTTTAATAATATACATCAATTAATAGCCACTGTTGAGCACAGACAGGCATTAAAGAGGCTGACGATGTTAAACCTTCCACTCCGTTGCAAACAATAACAGCTGAACCAACTACTGTACATAAAAAGTTTCTTACTGCATGTAGAGTTGCCTGCCAGTATTACATTTGAGCTCAAGTTTTGTGGAGACGACGTCTTTAGTAACAAATTTGCGTTCTAGTAGACATACAATCGCTGTGCAATCTGTGTTAACATTTTTGGGTAGAACTTCAATAGTATTTTTGTTGTTGTTGTTGTTGCTGTTCCACTTTCACTAGACTTTTTTTTTTTTTTTGCTTTTACCTTAATTACTAGTACTAATTATAGTTTCACATTAATTTTAATATTCTGTAAACACGGTATAATGTGACGCAAAAAATGCATTTGGGGTACAAATAAAGGCCCCCTGCTATTGGCATCTACTCATCTGCTCTTGAGCATTCAAAACAACCATTTCTTGCAGGATATGTATTATGTTTCCTGTTGTCCCATCTGACATGTTTTACATGACTGACTGTTTGTAATTACACCGACTAAATGAATCAGGCATAAAATACACAGTAGAGTAAACTGCTAAAATGTCAGCTGTAGTGATAGATGCCGTCTCAGCTCGTACGTGTCGCCCTTCCCCTTTGCCTCTCGTGACTTTGACTGGAGTAAAGAGCTGTCAAAGAGCCGACTGACATTCTCATCCTCTCCCTTCTCCACTACAATTAATCACAACAACATATATATGTTTTTTTTGGGGGGGCGGGGGGTCTTCCCACATGGCACCTCTTCAAATCTCTCATCCTTTCTTGCTCCAATAATTTTAGACTCTGTGCGTACAACAAGCACATGCTCCTCTGCACACGTCTGTGTAAATCACACTACAGCTGCGATGGTGCTGGATGATCCTTTATTACACACACACACACAAACACACACACACACACACACACATTCATGCATTCACCCACCAGTGAACTTGTTGACTCCTGCCTGCTCGGCCACATTCGAGAGGGCGATGACGCCTTGCGAAAGGTCACTCGCCGCCTCGTCCATTTCTATAAGTGCATGTGGGCCCACGGTGCCACTGGCATAGTTTGCTATGTAGATGGCATAGCGACCCGTGCCCTGCGGAGAAAAAAAAAAAAGCTGTTTACATTTGGTAAAATTGCTCCAATTACTGACGTGTCAACCAATGATACCAGAAATGAGTATGTTGGATCATCATCTGTGCTAGAGCTAATAGTGCTGAGTGCAGCCTGCTTGATGATTAATATAATGGTGAATAGCATTTTACTGGGACAATCAACAACCCAATAAAAAAATGACCTCGGACCCATTTTTGGGTCCAGACCATATGTCTGGGAAGGGTTGCTGTTGAGGATTTATTGTCTGCCTGTAGATGTTACTTGCCACCCCACGACCAGTGACAAAGACAAAGCAATTTTGTGATGTGGTATCGTGCTGAAAAACGTCCATTTTTTTTAACATCTCCAACCAAAAGCAATTTCCTCTTCGTGCTCAACCTTAACAATTTTCATTCGTTTTCCTCAAGGAAACAGTCCAAACAAAAAGTTCACTGAAAGAGGTATGTGTGCAACTTTTGACCCTGTGGTATCTATTCTGCGTATGAGAGTGGGAGCTTCAATAAAACCTTGAAAATCCAATGTCACCAAAGTCCATTTGAAAGAGCAAATCAAGACTCTTCTATGCGCAATGAAACGGAGTGAAACATTCTACCTCTTTGGTTTGCCGAAACGGACTCTCAATGCTCTATAGTCTAACTTTTAATATTTGACCTTGTTTCAGTTGTTGCCATAGCCACGCTTACACCGAGCGGTACAAATGTGCTTACCACAATACACTAGCATCAGATATAATCGTTATGGGCTCAGCTAGCTATTTGTAATGTGTTCCTGTGTTGTCCCCGATCAATGTGTCGTTACAAAATGTCACAAAAAAGACTTTTGACATCCTAACAGATATGCTGAAACAGCAAACCCAAACACTTTAAAATGGGTCTCACACAAAATGACTGAAATTATTGTCCCAAAAAAAAAAAAAAAAGCATCTTTCTCATTTTCAGTGACCAACATGCTCATGCGTATTGAACCGAACAAATTTTACTGTTCAATTCAAACAAATCTCGTGTCTTGCCATTACTTTCACCTGCAGACAGTTTTATCTCTTAAGCCTGCCCTGCAGTGTTCGTTCAACCAATCAGCTTCCAGTTTTAACCTGTGTTCTGCCCGGTAACTGCGGCAGCCGAAAACTACCATTGCAAATTTTTATTTGGATGTGTTAGAATATGTGAGATCAGCCGTCTTAAAACTTTTGATTCCTTCTCTAACCCTAAACAAGAATTTAAAAAAAATAAAATAAAATAATCAAACCCCTTTTTCCAGTTTCCTTGCTTTTACCCCTTTCCCCCGCCTCCCTTTCGAGATTAATTTCACACTCCATTATCAGTCAGAGCCCCTGCAGACACAAACAGAACCACACTAATAGACCACACACTTGATTCCAATGAGTTTTCCCACCAGGCCGAAACATATTTCAGTCAACGAGAAGGCATGCATATGAGAAAACACACTCACAGTTTTACCATTTGTGTCGAACCTAAATGGTATTTGTGCAGGACACGAACAGCAAATGACTCTGCTTGATGTAGCGATTTTATTTATTTATTTATTTTATGTCATCAAGTGTCACATTGCCGCCCGCTGAGGGGGGAGGCATCAGCTGCACTCATGCACACAAACACACACGCCCACACACACACATTCACACACGCCTTTACAGCGTGAAAAATGAGACTGAACCGCAATGAAAGACCTGAAGGCCTCTGGCAGTTACTTAACAAACCTAAAAGTCAATGATTTTTCAATAAGTCTTTGCGCAAGGCTAATTTCTGTCAGTGCGATTGCCAGCGTGATGAGTGTGACGTGCCTCTTTGCAAAGTGCATGTCGGGTGCTGCCTTATATGCCTGCATGCCTCCGATATCAGGCTCCCTTGAAAAGACTCAATAGGTGATAACGCCGCCATATTGACTTCATCTGTTTTTAATTGTGTAATCTGTCTATCTATGTTTTACATATGAGAAGGTGCTACTTTATACCTTTATAAATGGTTACAGTTAGTATATAGTCAGCATATTTCGGCGTTAGTAGCGGTTTAACTTGGTTGACATAAAATCTTGTTGCTAACCTGCACGATATTTATTCGACCATTAGATGTGCTGTATTATTAGCCGCAATATCAATGAACGGGTCTATTTTATTACATTTTCCTACATAAGGGGCACCAGGTTATAAGGCACACTGTCTTTGTGAAGCATTGTTTGTTAAATACTGCGATTGGCTGGCAACCGATTCAGGGTGTCCCCCGCCTACTGCCCGAAGATGGCTCGGATAGGCTCCAGCAACCCTTGTGAGGATAAAGCGGTTCAGAAGATGGATGGATGGGATGGATGTTTGTTTAATAGTTCGTTTTAATTGGACCTTATATTCAGTTGATAAGATTTAGCGCTATTTTGCTAGGTTAAGATCGGACACGAAATCAAATTTTGTTCGCATCGCAACCATACGGGGGTTACTTCGAAAAGAGAAGAGAAGACAACCCTACGACAGACGGGAAAAAAAAATTACTACAAAATGCTATGTCAATTTTACATTCAATTATTTTAAGTGCGCCTTAAGGTCCAAAAAAATACGGTAACGTGACATTGTAAAATTCTGGCCCAAAAAAAAAAGGCTATTCTAACAATGCTAAGAGATAGCATGCTAGGACCCTGGGCAGATCCATGGGAACATCTTGTGCCTCAACATAGTGCCAAGTGCTGAAGCTTCCAAACAATCTGCATGTGTGACAGATGAGTAACGAGCACACTTTGAAGTCTGCTACTAAGTCAAAAGGCTATTCCAACTGGATAAAATGCTAATGCTGTGTGGAGGTACCATTTGTGGTAAGAATAGATACAGTAAAATGCTAATATGCTAATGCTTGGCATCTGCTGACATATTGCATGACAGCAACATGAGTACAAAAAGGGATAAGGCAGATGAATATGTGGGATGTCAAATTTGCAAAGTGAAAACTGATAACTAATATCTAAACAATTCATACATCCTTAAGTGTAAAATGGTACCTAATAATTTCTTTCGGCGCAAACAAGACAACATGCATGCATCAGTCACCCATTACTCAACATTCCCGCGTCTTTTGTTGTCTGTTTGAAAATAATTTAATGAATGCATGTTGCCCATCAGCCTCCTGGAACTGCCACGGAAGAACACACACCGCGTCTTTTGGCTGGCTCTTAAAGTATTATGCCATTATACGTAGATATCTCTCCAATCGCGGTGGCAGACGCACAAGCCATCAGTGCTCAGCGAGATGGGACTGCGGGTTGTAAGAAAAAAAATAATAACTATTGCGAACCCAGCTGTCCTCTCCTGACTATTAGCTTCTTTATTCCTAGATTGGAAGTCAGCGTGTGATAAGAGACAAAGAAGGAGTCCGTCAGAGAAAGTAAAAGAGGAGGAAAAGAAATGAAAAAGGGTCGAAATGGAAAAATAGAGAAAATGATACTGGGCAAAGAGCAGTCATCACTCATCCCCTCGTACGATGTTCTATAAAATAAACGAGCCCCGGCCTCTGTAATTACACTGCTTGGCGATGGACAGAGGGAAGAAAATGGTCCAACATTGTCCCCAAATGAAGTGTCAGAGCACAAGCTGAGGAGGGCGGCGCAGGCAGGGCATGAATTATCACTGGTAAACAAACAGCAGCAACCATGCATGTCCGCAGACGACACGTGAATGTAATTTCTTGTGTGCATGTTTACCTTTCTGTCCACACAGGCCACTGAGCGTCCAGCCATACGATTAGCCACGTCCCTGTGTTCGTTAATGTCATCATTCAGCAGATCCTCAAATCGGCCGTTTCGGAACTTGAACAGTTTGTCTGTGTATGTCGCACGTCCTGAATGCAAATGCAAAGATCGTCAACATGGAAAGTAGGTATCCATCGACCGTTTTCTGTACAGCTTGTCCTCCTTGACCATTGTGCGATGTAGACAAATGCTTAGTGGGCCACGACACAAAATCAGGAAAAAAAATCACATTCAATGTAATTATTGTCCTGTATAGTCAAACTAGTTTTTTTTTTAAACAGAAAAGCTGACATAGATTCCATTGTACAGCAGTTGGCAATGTGTATGGAGCTGAAGTCCCGTTAAAAACCACGCAATCATGCGGAGAACATGCAAATGCCACACAGGAAGACAAGAGCCGCGATTCAAATCCTGAACCTCAAAACTCTAAGCCAGAGATGCTATAACCGCTTGTCACCGAATGCTCTTATGAATCCAATGTCGTCTAAAAGTTTAGGGCTGGATTTTAGCTTTGACTCAACTGGATGATGCCAATTTCAATAGACCGTGGCTGTCTGATACCAGATTGATTTGAACTCTGAACCTCAAAACTGCGGGTTAGACTTGCTCACCGCTATGTCTATTCACATCTCAATCTTGTCCAAAAGTTGTTGTGGTGAGTGCTTAATTAAAATGACCTTTCGCACTACAACTGGTATGCCTGAGTAAACCGCAGAAGTTCAGAAGAAGTATTGACTTTTTGCACAATGTAATTTGTTTTGCAATGTAGATTTTTAAAACTTAAATGTAGGTCTTCAATTGACAAACACTCACAGCAGCAAAACTTTTCTGAAACATGGCTGGAACTACTGCTGGAATGTGATTTTTCTCATTCGGGTGTTCAAAAGTACTTTTACCAGAAAAGGCGTTATTGGTGTTGAGTACGTAAATCTCCTCCCGGCCATCTCCATCAATGTCACACGCTGTTACGCCGATAGCATTGCCTTGGCGGTCTCTCAGAGCGTAGAACGGGGAACTGCGATTGTCCACGGCAATGTTGACGAGTCTCCTTCTCAGCTTGTCGAACTTCAGAACCAGGTTAGGTCCGTTGTAACTGCCAACGTGGACGCATGAAATTCTGGATGTTACGTCGTACATAAGTTTGGTTTTGGTTCTGACAATTAGGGTGTTAGTTTTATGGGGCCTCGAAACAACTCACTTGGAATTGGAACTGATTTAGTTCAAGGATCAAATTGTGGAAGTTTTCCTTTTTCAATGCTCGGAGGTTCAACATAAAAAAAACACCACAGTAGCACTGTGGAATGAAATTCTGACTTTTGCAGAGGATATAAAGGATCAAATTAAAGAGCAAGTGCATGGAGGTGGGTCCACCGAGTGCTTGCCCACCTATCAAATGTGAAATCAAACAAGTATATATATTATCTGCCTAATTTAGAAAATGTGCCTGTAAGTGAGCCGTTCTGAATTTTGCCGAATCATGAAGCCAATGTAACACTATGTGTGCTGCATGCACCACATGGACAGAGCAACACACACACAAAAAAAGATGAGTTAGTCAAGTGTTATTCGTGAGACAATATGAAGTGCTGCCTCCAGGGGTGAAAATGCTTTATATGTTTTTACAGACTGTTTATTATTATTCCCACAGTCTGGGTTCCACTCTTGCAAGTTGAAGTTATCAAGACACATTGTGAACTATTTTAAATGGTAAAACAAACAAAAAAAGTATTTTTTATGATCACATTTTGAAGGGTTGAGCAAAGTTTTGGAAATGACTAAACATGCATCTTTGCCTTTTATAAAGACTATGAAAGCGTGAAGTAACGAAATTTGAGTGGAACTCTCAACTTTGCCTCTGAAGGTCATTACGTCAATCGTGTCATATAAATGAAGTTTGGGATGATGAACTAGTAATGTGATGCCCTCTCTCTCTCTCTCTCTCTCTCAGAATCGCTGCTGAATAGGATGTCTTTGCAGAAAAGACATTTATGAGGCGCGGCCATTTGCATCCATCTCTGCAGCCTGTGAGGGATTCATCGCCGCTTCATTGGTTAGAAGCAAGCTTGCCAAAGCATCTCCATCAGTGGCGCTCTGTCCAATCTCATCCATTATCATCACATGAGTGAGCTCCAAGTCTTTTTAAGTCTTTTGCCTTTGTCTTCAACCTTTAGCTCAGAAAATGAAGTGCACCTCCAATCCACACTTCGATAGCTATCACTCACAAGTTCAATCATCTGTTCAAATTTGTGTAATGGGCGAAATTAAACAATGTTGGCGCCACTGTGAGAGAAGCATTCAGGCTGGAATCCTTTCACAAAGTACTCCACTAATTTTCGCCGATTCACTTACCCTGCAACAAACACCTCCAGGTCTCCGTCCCCATCCACATCGGTGACGGCCACGCCGTAGTTGAGTTGGGTGGGGTTGTTGTCGTAGTCGGGAGGAAGCACGGTCTTAGTTATGGCTGAGAACATCGGCTCCGAACGCTGCGTCGAGCACAGTGCAGGCAGGAATAGAACGAACCACAACATTGTGACCTGAAGAGAGGAACAGACTTTGGTTCAAAATAATGTAATTGTTTTCATGACATTTCACAACAAACAAATACAACTAGAAATTGCTATATAGCCACGAGGGATGCTCGTATTAATCCATTGATTGATTCGTTGATCGATGAGAATGAGTCCATTTGTGTGGAGTTGCATGACTGTCAATTGAGGCAAATCGGAGTGCCAGTGCTTGGCTGCAATCAGCAGAGCTGCTGTCGATTCAGTCTCAACTAGTTTGCTGTCTAAAGCAGGCCATCATAACGTCATCTGGAGCAAATTAAGTTAAAGTCACTCTGTGGCAAAATTTCTCCCGGTGCCATTATTCTGGTCTATAGAACGCTGGCATCAAAACAGAAGTTCTTACACTTACAGTGAAACTTCTCTACAACGAATCATGTTTGCAGCAAGAAATTTTTCACAACAGGGGACTTTTCACTGTAGCAAATTTTATCTCAGACGTAAACACGAACACACAAAAAACGTATACATGTACTTTTTAATGGGAATGGCTTTCATGCATGAACATTTTTCCACACTAAGGGGTATTTTCGCCCATGTAGGTTTCGTTGTAGCGTTTCACTGTATGACTGTTTCAAAAAAAAAAAATTGTACTTGGTAAATATGGGTATGTAAATTGTAGATTGATCAAGGAAATGTCAAATGTTCATCCTGAATAAGACAGCAAGCATCATGACAAAAGGAGAAGGTTTGGGATTATGGAACATCACAAAGAAATCTCCTTCAGGCGAGGTTGGACTGTCCATTTAAACACTCTTTGACTCTACTTTCTGAGGTGCCGCTGAAGGTGTTGCTGGTGGAGGCTTAGTCCGATGACTCGTGACACTGTCCTACTGGCGCTGCCAGTTAGCATGCTAACTAACACAACTACAATAATTTTCGTTTTTGTGTGAGGTATCAGCACTATTGACTGACATTGTAGTTGTAGCATTGAGACATCAAGTGTTATGGAAGCCTAAGACTTTTGCACAGAGCTGTGCTAAATGTGACAATAAAAAACCAGACTGGCAGGCACACTCATGACTCGGTGCCAATTTGCTAACTGTTTATGTCAGTGTTGTCTGCCACCTCTCACCACCATTGAGCTCTAATGTTCACTTCGCCCACTCTGTGCTCATTTACGTCAACTTGTATTGGAGCTACAAAGTTTCCCCCCCTCTCGAATGACTTATGCCAATACTATCTCTATGTGCTCATTATGAACGACAACATATTTCTCCGAACGGTTCGAGCAAATGAGAATCGCACAATAACAGTAAATCGTGTGTTTGCAAACGACAACATGCGGCTCGTATTGCTAATTCTCCAAATCTATTATCGTGAGTCGAGCGGCGGCACATTTTTGGCCGAGCTTTTTGCTGCGCTCAGACATAAAGATGAAGATATAGCACTGCACTCAGCTGCGTTCTGCAGACTTAGAAAGTGAACAACCCATCACGTGAAGACAGGCTAAGGAATTGCAGGACAGAAAATCCATTCGGGGAACAGCGTCTCAGCCCAAGGCCGATGAGAACACAGGGGAAACTGATGTGACCCGACACAACAGATCTAAGGTGTTGCTTCCCATGGGATGCTGGCCAACTCTAAATTGGGAAGTCATCGTGGCATAATAACACACAGGGAGGTTCAAGAGTCCTATTCGTGGTCACCAGATAAAAGGGGAGCAAAGAGGAATTGATCCAATTGGCTTGTAAAATTCAGGCAGGTTAAAAGAAAAATAAAAAAAATTTAAAGATGAGTAGACAAACATCCCTGAGTGGGAGTAAGCAGAAGGTCACCTCTTTAAAGTTGAACTAAAACATATATCAACAGTGCTGCAAAACAAACACACACACACACACACACACACACACACACACACACACACTAAGTGGCGTTTATAAGCTGACAGTTGATTTGCCCAGCCAGCGGATTTATGCAGGCAACCTTCGTCATCGCTCCACGGCTGCTTTACTGCTGCAGCTTCCTCCCTCGATGCTAGCGTGCAGCCGCCGCGTGATTGATGCCTCTTTAATATCTCGCTCAACAATTCAATTTAAGATAAAAAAAAAAAAAAGAAAACACATTGAGCTTTGAGTAATACTCTCAAAAGCCCATCGGCCGTGAGAGGAAGCACCGCCGTTTGACAACCGCAGAAATATCGCAGGGGCCGAAAATGCCCGGCCGTCCTTATCCTTCGCTCGTGGCTGCGTAGCCTAGCAGCGGAATGAACCCAGCTAACAAACAACAATAATGGAGGACAATGATGGACTCCTGTGTTTACTTTCTTGGGCATAACGAAGAAGGTGTCGCATTTTATTCAAGAGGAGACTCAGGGGAGTGAGAGGAGAACGGATCGCAGCAGCAAAGTGAAGATTGTGGAAAAACAGGGAAAGCTAATGTCTGTTTGAATTTGTGATTTCTTGTCACAAGTCCTCAAGTGGTGATTGGACCGCAAGGGTTTGACACCCAAATGTTGGAGTCAGCTGGGCATTCTTTGAAGCCTAGCTAACAAGGTACAAAGTACTATGTTGTTTTCAAGCACTATTTCTAAGATGGAAGCTTATCAATTGCGAAGAGAACCGCGGAAAGTGGAAAAGTGACATTTTGGTCAATTCTATTTTCAACGTTTTTGTCGATTTTGCATTTGTCCAACTCTTTTTCCCTTTTCACTTTCTGCAAGTGTACCACAATGTCACAAAGTGTAGCTGCACATTACTGTAAATGGATGAAAAGTTTTGGGCTTTCATTTTAAAGTTAGACAGAGGTTGTATTTCTCAGTAAGTGCATCCTTAAAAACTGACCCGCCCCATAATTTAGTCAATGTCCCAAACAAGGGAAAGTAAATCCAAAGACAGATGAGGGTGTGAAACCACAGGGAACTGCATTGATAAAATGGTAGGGTGATGCCTTTTCCGGTCAAGGACACCCAGCCTGCATTCACAACACGAAATCTCCATTTTTAAAGTAAAGTTACAGCGGGACTTTTTACTTGGTGCAAAAAGTCCTGGACAGTTATGTGCACTCAGTTGTTTTTCAGGATATAATGCGTACTTAACTGTTATCTTCCTCCCATTGTGTGCAAACATTTTTTTTCTTTTTTCTTTTTTTTTTTGTAAAACGGTCAAATAGCATGAAATAGCCTAGGGGGGGAAATGTGTCGTCTCAGGCCCGAGAAATGTTTTCACTTTGGGTTATTTATACTGGCATTAAGAGGCCATTACGGCGGCGTGCAGCATCAGCATGTGCCTCGTGGAGCGTTCATGCTCAGCTTTCATCCTGATAACACTGCGACAAAGAGCCAGTGAAGATGTTCACTTTCAAAACACGCTCACAGGAATCTCGTCGCTGTGAAGGACACCCCCGCTGCAGAGCGCACACACACACACACACACACACACAAGGTTGGACTAATCCTAGCGCATTACACTTAACTTTCATTCACAGTAATCAACAGTCACCATTAAAGTTAAGCTGTTATTTATCCATCAAGAACCACAGTGGCCCTCCAGCAATTTCAAACAAGCAGTGACACTATATTGACTGCACAATGTCTTCTTTTGTCACAAATATTGCCGTTGGGGAAAACTTACGTCTTAATAATAATATTTATGATTAAGACAATTTATTTTCGGGAAGTTGCAGGATTGTTTGTAAGAAGTTACAATTTAAATCCGTTTGACTTTTGGGCATCCATGTGTTTTTAATATTAATACCTTATTATCTACAATATGTGAAAATGTACAGACAAAAAAGTGAACTTTTTAGGTAAAAACGGACTAGATAGTGAATTACTAACAAAAACATTTTTGTTTGAATGTGTTCATACTCACACCACTTGTATCTGTAAGCTTTTGACATCCACACTGCATGCCTTCCTAAAATAATGCAAATATAATCATTAAGTATAAAATCAACGTTCAAGCTTAATTTTATTTTTTTAATTTAAAAAGGTTCAACTACAGCACCTAAAGCTATATATATATATATATATATATATGTAGGGGGTGGACTTTTTTTGTTTTTTTATTTTTGCTAGTTTTATTTTTTTGGCAGTTATTTTTTTGAATTACACATTTGCAGGCTGGCACATATTTTGTCTACTCATTCATTCAATCATTTTCCGATCCGCTTTATTCTCACAAGGGTCGCGGGGGGTGCTGGAGCCTATCCCAGCTGACTTCGGGACACCCTGAACCGGTTGCCAGCCAATCGCACG